TTTTAAAGTTCTGAAAACAGTCTACAATTACTCTACTACCCAAAAAAATCATCTGGTCATATGAACTGGCTGACACATGTCCTATTTCTCTCTTAGAAACAAGTAAAAAGATATTTACAAAGATACTAAATAATAGACTATCAACTACTATCTCAAAATACAATATCCTATTAGGATATAACTTTGCCAGACTGAAAAACCAAAGCATAATGGAACCAATCTCAATTGTTCTTTCAGAAATTAAGACAGAAACAACCTTAATAAAAAAATCTGGATGGCATTATTTGATATATCCAAAGCATTTGATTCAGTAAATCTCTTTAGCTTGAAATTAGCAATAAAAAGAGAAAACTTCCAAACCAAACCATTCAACTAATCCTCGACCTGCTTAAAAAAAAAGAACTCAAAAATTATCATATATTATAAATTCACAGACCCACTTGAAGTCAACAAGGGAATTGATTAAGAAGAAACTTTCACACCATTGCTATGAATCATCTTCTATAACTCAATAGTTTGTGCAATTATCAAAAATTCCACTAACAGATCAACTATTTTAGCATATATGGATAATATTACGATTATTAGCAAAAACATATATACTTTACAAAGTATCATTAATACCTTTTGCTTCTTCCTAACTTTGAACTCAATCAAATATAACAAAAGTAAAACAGAACTCATTATGAATCTGAAATCCAGAAATGATCAAAGAAAGCAAGCACTCATAGTCAAAGACACACCAGTTTTATCCAAACTATATAACGAGTCTATTAAATACCTCAGAATCTACTTATTTGAAAAATCCTTATCCATTGCAACAAAAAACCATCTTAAAGAGAAGGTTTCAAACTTTACTAAAGCAATTGCCAATCAAAAAGGATGAAATGGTTTAATTAAAAGACAGGCCTTCCATTGGATAATACTAGTACAAATTGAGTATACTACTCAAGTATCAATTCTCAATGACAATAATACAAGAGTTTTTCAAGCTAAATTCAATACAGTTATCAAAAGTAAACTTAATATAGAAAAGACAATTTCAAATAAAGTTCTGCATTTACAGGCTGGCTTGGACATTATAAAACTTCAGGATAGGATCCATATAATAGCAGTCAAACTTCAAACTACAAAACTTGCCAATAGAAAAACTCGCAACTCCTTTATTGAAGAAATTAGATCCTTGCAAGTATCATATGCTATTTGGACATGTCCCATCTGCAATCCATATTATTTTAGGGACTGCTAATTGATATTTACTGCACAAATAACAAAAAAATATTAAATTAATATTTGCCCTTACATATGCCTATTCAAGAATCCTGATTACAATCTTTCAATAGGATTAGCAACAAGAATTACCAAAACAAATGCTCTCTCTCTATACTATACAAACATTAGAATCATTAAAGATATATATATATACAACAGCCATAACAAATTGTCATGAAATAAACTTCATATATATAGAAGACATATACAAACCAGTTCAATACCAAAATGGGTTAAGAACATTTCACCAATAAATTACAGGATTTTAGGAAGCTTATTTCCAGTATCCAATTCAAAACTTTGCTTTCAAGTTTTTCTCAATGGTGGAGTGGTGAACTTAATCAAAGTTAGGATAAATGCAACTTAGCAACAGATAGTTAAAAGACAATATTATCAAATCCTATTCAATAAAAAAATTACACCATGAATGTGCAATTTATAACTATACATCATAGAAAAGAGTATAACAGATATCAAATCAATATGGACAGACAACAACATGTAATAGCAACCCACTTCTTTTAAACAATGTTAGCAAACTTTTGCTCCAACCTTCTTTAATACCATCTTGTCTATTAGCTATTGTTATAATAAACAACCCTCTTAACAATTTATTATCTCCTATAACAATTACTATTTTCTTTGTTAAAGGAAAAATTATTGTCCAAAAACTCAATACAAATATATTTTATAATCTAAACACTAATTCTTGATTATGCTTCTGGTTCATTCTTCTAAAAAATATATAGAAAACTTCAACCAATTCTACAATCCAATGTTAACTTCAAATCAAACCAAATTTAAATCCATTCAAATACATTAACCACCAGGTTAAAATCCCATACAATAGATACATCAGACTTATTAATATTGAAACTAAAAACAGAAACATAACATTGGAATGAATCATTAAAAAAGAACTCAAAAGTCAACTTTCGCTTAACATTCAAAGTGGCACAGCAGTCCCACAAGTATTTCCAGAAACATATAATACTTTACCATTAATTAACAATAACTATACCACTAGCATTACACAGTGGATCAAGTTCATCAACTTCTATATCAACTTCTTTAACATATTACTAAACCAATTAGCAATCTATAAGCCATTCTCAATGTTGACACTAAAACTGATCAGCAAAGTCAACAAAAAACTAAAGAAAAATGACCAACTGAAATATAAAAGTCTCACAGTTTTCAGAACCAAACTGATGGCTAATTAACTTCTCACAAGAATCAAACTTCACAGAAGGTACTCTGATATATATAATAGTAATTTCTGCCTGCAGTATGAAGTATTTTCAGAAGATCAATCATATATCTTCTCATGCATTTATATCCTATTTACCATCAGAAAAAAGAAGGACAAATTTATAGACCTGATAAACAAGAATACTTTTCAAACATTTGACAATAGTAAACCACTTTCACTAACCATTACAACAACAACAGTACCCGAAATATGTAATCTTGCACTTGGCAATCTTCAACTCTCTCTGGACAAAATACAAAACAATAAAGCTGAAATCTCAAACAAAGTACTCAAAATTTTATACAAAATCTGGAAGAAATATTTGGCAATAGTTACTATATCATCAACATCAAGAATAAAATGGAAAAAAAATTACAGTCACGAAAATTGACCATAACATCAAAAATAACAATTCTATATTCAATAAAATACTTAATATATTAGTAATAAACAATAACTTAACAGATAAAAATATATTTATACCTACAATTGTATTATCATTTTGAATAAGCATTAGTTATTCAACACTGCTAACATAGACTCATCTATTTGATGCAAGTCAAGTGTTAACAGAAAAAGTTATAATAGGCTAGGATTAAATTACATTTTTTTTTTTTTTATTAAGGAACAATTAAATTACATTTTTTATAAAGATTTTTAATGTAATAGCTATAAACTTTCGTTTAATAAAAGTCCCATATTTAATGCTTATTTATGATTTAAAAATATATATATATATTAATAATAAAAACATTTAGTAAAATATAAAAAGATTTAATAAGTTACTTTTTTAAAGAATATAAACAATTTTTTATAACTTTTTAAAATTTTTTAAAAAAGAAAATTTTTATTTTTATGTATTTAATAATTTTTTATCAAATAAAAAATTTTTAGAAAATGTATTTTTTTTTGATAAAAAATTATTTCATTTAACTAATAAATTATTATATTTTAAAAATTTATTATATAAAATTTATATTATATAATTTAATTTTAAAAAATTTTTTATTAATAATATTATATTCATAATTTTTTTGATGCATATTTAATATCAATTAATTATTATATAATATTAAATAGTTTTTTAAAAAAATAGATATATTTAATTTTAAATTTTTTTAATTTAATATTAATTTAAATTTATATATGGTTTATATATGGTTTATATAAAGTTATATTTTCAATATTTTTCAATTAATTTTACAATATTAACATATAAAAGATTAATTAAATGATTTATTTTTTTTAAAAAATTATTTTATAATATCTTTTGTAATATACTATAAATTAAAATATTGTTTGTAAAATTTTAGATCTTGACTAATTGATGAATATATTATAATATATTAAAAAATAATGCCAATAGGTTTTTTAATTTTTTATAAAGTATTCTTGAATTATTATAAATATTTGTTGTTTTAATGCTTGATATTATATAATAATTATTATATTTTTAATTGTAATTTTAATTGATATTCTTTTAAAATTAATTTAAATAAATAAATATATTGTATTTATTTATAGCTAAATAGATTATTGTTATAAGCTTGTATTTCCACATAACTATATTATTTTTATTTTATATCATTCGTTAAATCAACCAATTTTCGAATTTTATTGTATTTGAAATTCATGAAATACACAAGATATTAGAATTGATGTAAAAAAAATTTTTAAAAATAAACAATCGACTTAAAATTAGAATTTTTTTTTTAAAAAAAAAAATATTATTATTATTATTATGTATTGTATATGCAAATTTTCAGTTTCCATGATAGGTTTGATATGCATTATATATTGTATATTTAATAATACACGGTCAAAAAAACATATTATAATCCTATGCCTATATACAGTATTTTTTGTTTTATTTTATATTATTTAGAACAAGTTTAAAGAAAGATACCGTGTATATTCACGTTATATACAGTATTGTGATTTTTTTTCAAATGATTATGGCTTACATTGTATACAAAATATCTTGTATCGGTTAGTAATCTATTTTCGTGTAATTAGTTATGCTGTATATGGTAGGTAAATTAATCGATGGTCAAACTTAAAATTGGTAACTATTCCTTAATCCTCCCGTATTCACGCGTATACACGTATTGATTTAAATCACTCAACATTTTTGCGAAAAAAGAAAAAGAGGTGATATTATCTCAAACAATATCGGTGATACTAGAGTGGTGATATCATTGGACCTGGCAGTCTATGCCAATTTATGTGTCCTACGCGGTGGGGAATATACAGGATGTACGGTGTGTACGCAGGAGATTTGAATCTCACGCGTAGGTAATGCAACCGACTCTTTTTTCTCAATGGACATCCCCATACATGACAAAATTTTTTCATGTATGAACTTGCACATGTCCGCAAAGGAAATAGACGATAATCGGGATATTGGAATTTCTGTGCAATCCCCAAACAGAAAAGAAAAAAGTACGTCAAATGCACAATTATTCCACATACGCAGATACAGAACTCACGCATGACCATGCCGAAGAAAAAGGGGAGCACCGGAGAAGGAACGGAGAGTCCAAAAAGAGGACAAAGAGAAAATGACAAATTGAAGAACAAAGCGCATAATATTGACGAGATCCCATGCATTAATGACAGGGATATTAATTGAACCCTTTTTTTTATTTCAGATTGGCAGGGTTGCGTCGAATCAAAGCTAAAATATTCCAATCGAACACATCAAATAAGCTTCACGGATAGCATCGTATGCACGCAACAGAGATGGATCTTTTCAATGAGCACTAATAAGAATAGGAAACGATGTCTTTGTGACGTATAACGTACGGAAATTTTTTGGTATACACACATGTCATTCATTAATGTACCATACGTCAATGTTTATTGTTATTTGTTACGCGGATAGGGTGATAAATGAGAGGGCGGACATCGAATAGACGATGGATAAAAGTTCATATTCACAATGATGCTGACGTGTGGGTAAGAACGATAATTACGAATACCTCAACTAGTAACGAACCGGTTTTATTGTTTTCGGATAAAATGGCGTATCTCAAACAGGAAACGTAAAAATTCTTTGCCGCTCGGGTGATGCGTTGGAAGTAGTCAATCGATGACGCAATGTCAACCCGATGTTTTTAAGAAAAAGTTTAAGAAAAAAACAACCATCCACACTAGCATTTACCAACGATTCCTCACATCACGCATCCATTTGCATGTCCGTATCTTAAAAAGAATACCGCACAGTATCGCACGTATTCTTCTTCTTTAAGATTGCCATATAAATGGAACACCTTTTCAATTGTAGAGTTTGTCTCGTTCTTGGACCAGGCACGCAAAGTCATGACGGCGCACTGTTTGGTCGATTGTGTTCATATGGACAGATTATGCAATCATGTGTAACAAAGGAAATGTTACACATCAACGTAAAAGTCGGGAACGGATTCTCCCCATTACATATGACTTTCATTTTAATATACAGGTACAAATGCGTTGTTTGAGATGTGTGTTCATTATTTATTATTTATTGCATGCCTTGATATTTGTCATGATATTTGTTAATTTGTTACTTAGTCATCTTCGTTGTTTAGTAATCTCTGATAAAAGAATAGCCAGTGCAATCAATCATTAAAGAATCTTCGATTTACAATATGCTGTAGTTGGCAAACCTTAGATAACAACAACCTTATTTGTATTCTTCACGAAGACTGTGCCATATCACTTTTTTTTTTGTTACATTATCATCTCCATTACTTTATCACAGGACGACAATTGCTTTCCACTTTGACACACTTACAGTACATACAAACCTTTTCATCACCACGATTGTTGTTATTCAAACGATATGCCTGCCTACGCGCTGGTCATGAAACCACATCCATATACGAGATTAGTATGGTTTTTTAAAGTTAGATGCGCACGGATTTAATCTAGTTATTCCCCGCATAATATTATGGCGAAGTATGGTTTAGGATGTATGCTATTTCCCTGATGTGAATGTAATATGATATTTGGTTTGTTACGTCGAGTGACAGGATGTGCGTATATACTATGGATATTTTTGGAATTTTATTGACTGGGCGCACATCTCTATAATAGTAGCGCCAAGAATGTATCCACGTACGCACGTACGTGCGTCTCTTTCTCTCTATATGTGCTAATGCCGCATCTGAAGAAATTCGGGTCGAATGTTGTACGTACCATTATTATTATCATACTTTAAGATCTGGGGTCTCTGAAGCGGAGCAGTATTAGGGTACTTGCTAGTATTCTAATGCACTTCGAATATGATTGCCCCTTAAAGAATCAGAAAAGGTTTCTATGACAAGTCAAATCATCAAGACTCAAAGTTCAAAGAACCAGCATCCTTTCAACAAATCACTTTCACATGTTTGTTTATACCAGAACGGATTTTGCCGCCTGTCTTTAGCATTGTTCGTATTACAACAGATAATGTATACATTCTTGGGTAGCTCAATGATTGTTTGTATTCGATTTATCGTTAGCGGCACTTTGATTTCTCACTCTGGGATTGTTTGTGTTGCGCCATCGAGTAGCTGGAATCATGCACGTTTTGTTTATTCATCTTGAAATCACGCCATAAAATGGATGTATCGATTTCTACCCGTAGTGGTTGGTATCAGCTTAAAGAGTGTTGAAGATACAGCATGTAACACAGAAAAACGGAAGGTTGACATAGGTTGATACTGCTCACCGGCATTCACAACACTTTATCATCCAATCATCAATGCTATTATCCATGCGCAAACCGCGGTCACGCGTTTATCTCAGCCAATTGTAAGTTCCTTTGCGTTTTCATTAGTTTTGTCTTTTATCAATAACCTATCGGTCATCGAACGCTATGCTCTACCCAGCTGTAGGATGGGAAAATAAATTGGATGCGAAAGGTTAGTCTGATCTAGAGATGATAAATAAACAAATAATGATTGCTTCCTTTAATTTCCGGGCACCTAAAAAAAAAATAATCTCTTATTACCTACCGGAGACTAACCTATACGCACCATGTTCTGATAATGCAGAATTTAATCATTGTACTCTAAAATTGCATTAGTCTTGAGTCACCGGTTCTTCAATTTGTATTGTTGATCAGAAAACAAACAATTTGTTAGCGATCCAGACCTCGGTGAGCGTAAACCATCTAACTTAAACTGGTTACCTGAGAATTACTGATTCGCATCGGCTAATTAGACCCAACATTAACCTTGCCATAAATACCCGAATTTCATTCGGCCGAGTGACGTAGTCACATTTACGTTTGGTTTTCGTAGAATGCCGCTTTCTGCTCACATAACATCGCAATGCTCCGTTGTTGGAACCGAATCGCGTGCATCAACCATTACGCTCCCAAGTTTGTAGTCCAAAATAGAACTGCAGTGAGTATGACAAGAAGAGCGGAAAAACTTCAACTGGTATCCTATAAGCTGTTACACATTCGCACAAGGAATAGTGAATTCGTTGTTCAACACGCACTCTCTCCCACTTTAGACGTACAATTAATTGTTATGTGACTTATGCTAATTAGAAGGGTGACAAACTTGGGTGATTGGGCGATGACCGGTCTTGAATACGACATTTGGGTCTTATTGCATTCAGGCGTATTGACACGAAGGCATGTGTTTTGTGGGGATATGACATGCGAACTCTGGCCAACAATGGACTTTTTTCTGTTTATTCCGAGATCTCCATTTTTTTTTACTATGTATTCTATATGAACTGCACTCTACAGGATGTGTGGACCCGGTAATATTTTCGCACGACCAGTTTCGTTCAGGAATCATAAGTTTCAAAGCTCCTTAGGATACTTTGTTTAAAAGTACCTCCTGAAGCTTGCAAATAATACGTTTGAATTTTCAATTTTTTATTCATGCACGCACGACCTCATTCGACATCAGATGTAGATTTAATTTAAAATGCCATTCAATCCTATACTAGTGTTTTTAGCTTGCATATATGTATATATTCGGAATTGAACTCTCTGTTCAGTGACCGAAGCCTGGTCTTTATCATTTCCACGACCTCATCCCTTCCCACCTCGCTCCTTCATTGCCACCTATTCCCTTGCCCCATTCACAGATATTCTTATGTGGTTACGGTTCTACCATCTGACAGAGACAACACTCTGTCACACACAATGCTCCCTCCTGCCTCTTCGTTGTCTCTTTCTCTCTTTCATTATTGATGTGAAACTTTCTCCCTTGGTCTATCACACAATTCATACGAGAAATTTTGTTTTTTTATCATTCATGCAAGAGAAATTTGTTCGATCAATGCTTTCACCCAATGCAGCAGGGAACTCATATTGATCTCGCGGTGCTTAACGATCACATGAAAATAACCAAAAGTGATCAAAGGGATGAACGATTTTGGAAATTAGTGAGTGGTAGGGGAATTTAAGGTCTCAATCGATTCTCAAATTTGCAACTTCTGAAGATACGAAAAGCGCGTATGACATGTGACAAATGATGAACGTATGATCCCAAGTAATTTTAGAGATATTGGAATCCGTATGTGTTTAAGGTCTCGTCCTTCCAATCGTCTCATTCATTATTTCATATTAACATGGTCATTGTTTCGTCAGATGTTCGAACATAATTAATAATGATCACTCAGATGCCAGGAAACGGCAATCATAATCAGAGGAGACAAATTGCATGAGCGCGCCTCAAAGTTATCTCTGGCGCGAATTTCCCATTATTAGGTGTTAGGTAGCTGATAGAATAGAGGTGAACAATTGCAGGAACACGAAGCGACAATAATAAGCAACAATGATGATGATGATGATGATAATGGACACGTCAGATTGTTTTAAAATTTCTCGCGCCAGCCATAAGAAATGGCTGCGCGACAACAATGTATTCATCGTCTACAGAGGTATACATGTGAAAAAAAATGTGTTAACCCTAACTTGACAGTAATTGAAAATTGACCCTCCGGAGAAAGCGCGAAAAGTGTTCCTCCGGGTAAGTAACATCATATGCGCCTTTTTTTTGTTCCGAGATCTAAATACCGTCGTACATCATTCGAAAGCGTGTCCAAGCGATTTTTTGTAACAAAGAATTGCCATTGCTTGGCGAGGTCGGGAAGGAAATGGAATCAAGAAGTCGATATTACAACTGTATACAGTATGACGTCGTATAAAGTCGGTTTGCTCACGTGATCGACAATTTTGTACTTTGTGAAACGTGAACTTCGTTCCTTTTTCTACACCATTCTATGCACCTCATTTAAGGATTTTGTCGGGTATCCAATCGTGCACGTCTTTGAGCATTGTTGGAGAATTTCACAAGCATTCATGATGAGTGTAAATGAAAACGGATATGTGAAATGAGAGTGAAAACAGAGGACAAAATGACCGAAGATGACTTGTCTAATTTCGCGACGAGCGTGAAAGAAAAGAATTAAGAAATGAGAATGAAAAAAAAAAACCGGGAAATAGTGTAGCTCCCTCGGTAAGTCCCGAAAGTTAAACCTGAAATGATATCATTCCAATGAAAAAAAGTAAATCCCGTACATCTTCGCGAAATCTTCAAGTACGTAAGCACCTAAAAATAAGTATCCACGGAAAAATGTCGATTGTTTTATTTGCATCCCAGAAGATCCAAATGTATTTGATTTTTATAGAAATCGCATCCT